CGTGACGTTAAAAACCACCACAGCCAATTTGTAAGGTTTGTCAGATGTTGTGAGTTGACTCTCCAACACACCGTTGTGCTGAACTAGTAACGATGTTACACGTTTTGTTTACGTGACAACCCTTACTAATTGACTGTGTCGGGTGGTGGCGGGTTTATTTATATTTACGTAATCTAACCCAAAAGCCTCTATTATGGGTTGCTTATTCTTTAAGTTCATATTTTTTTCTGTTTATAGTTATTAATGAGCTACTATTTTTCTGTAGGGGCAGAGGGGGGGGGGGGGGGTTGCCCAAAAATCCATCGTTTACAAAACTCGACCGAGAATTCTGAATGATTCAAGAGGAAACTGAACTGATGAACGTTCGAGGATTACACCTTTGCAATTTTTAAACAACAAAAAAGTCCTGAATTAATTGAAAAGAGATATTTCGTGCATCGCGAATTACTGTTAATGGAGATAAGCTTGAGCATTTGTTAAGATAAATTAAATAACCATATGCATTTGTTAAAATAAATTAAATGATCAAATACGATTTGTTAAAATAAATATCAGAACCCTACGTGTCCTGACTTTTGGGCCACCCTGCATATATGGAGATATTATATCTATACAAAAACCCACCCATCCCGCCCGCAGAGAGTAGCTCATCAAAAAAGCTGGATGTTGGCAAGGCGTGAAATTGCGACTCGCTGATATTTTACAGAGCGCCCTTAATTCGAAGAGGCATCGTCTTCGAGTTGAAACGAGTTGAGATTGGGGTTTTTAATTCCTCTTTTTTTTTCCTGGTAATCTGCACGTCGTCGCGATCCTTCCCGTTGCGCGATCAGACGGCGCCGTGCCGTGCGTGACAGTTTTCAAGTGACGTGTTTCCGGGAGGGTTTGATCCTTAAAACATTTGTCGTTCAAAACAAAAATGTTGTGACGCGCTTCGCCCTTTTGGATGCAACGAGAAAATTCACGGTAGACGAGGTCCCGGAGCCAAAGAGATTCTCTGCGCAAACGGGAATTTGCCAATGGAGGAAATTCCACATTCCACATGACGGGGTCCGTAAGCCAACTCGACAAAACATTGTGATCGGTGTAATCTTATAATATTAAGCCGCTGATCTCTTGTATACTGATATGTGTGTGTGCGTGGCAGTCACACAGTGTTTGGTACACTGTGTTATGAACCCGGTGAACTCGACTTCAATTGCCGGCCATGGCTAATATCAGAAACGAGTAAAATCTAAACCAGTCCTGGCCCACTCTTAGGTAGACTCGGCCTTAAATGAGTAACTGGCGCAAGTGTGCAATTATCAGCATTGAAGAGCCAACCGTGACCGTGTGTGGTTTTGACCACATCACTCCTTCATGCACCGTTCTGGCCTGAATAGGTGCTCGCTAACAGCACTTATCCACATGATAGAGACAGGATATGGCTAAAATGTAAAAAATGACGTTGTGTGTGTGCAAATTAGGGGGAGCGGTAGTGGAACGGTTAGCGCTACGCTGCGCTACAAACCCAGCGACCCGAGCTGGATTCCCGCTCACGGCCAACACCAATGACGATTTCTGAATCGGTTCTCGGCCTCCCCTAGGTCGACTCAGCCTAAAATGAGTACCTGGTGCGACGCGCAAACATCGCCACTGAGGAGACAAAGGCGGCCGGGCGTGCTGCTGGTCACCCACCTCCTCGCGTGCCGTTCCGGCCTTCATAGGTGTTCGCTCACAACACTTGCCCCAACAGTCTGTTGCAGGCTATACCAGAATATTTGTCTTTGTTTGTTGTAAAATGTGAAAATAGTCTCTTGGAAACCCAGGCCGGACCTTCCCCATGTTCATCTGAGGACTAAATGACTGCACGGTGCAACGCAAATCCGCGCGGGAATTACCAAACGAGGACCCGGATAGACATCCACCTCGTTCAGAAACGCAGCTGGCTAGAGCGGGTGGGCGCGGACCTGCTCCCTGTTGTCTCTGCACTGGCAGTCGGACAGGTTTTGGAGTGGACTGTAAGATCCTGCTGTTGGGGGCTCTTGATGGGTCACCCCCACAATATGTCCTGGAACCGATCCATGTATGTTCTCCAACGAGGTCCCTGAGGTCCTTAGATCGCCTTACTCTAAGGACACCAAGGTCGGGGGCTCTGTCCCTGGGGTGATTGAACCGTTGCCAGTGCAGCTCCCAGACAATGTATCGTTTATGCCTTGTGCTAATCAGGCGATTAGAGTCACTGGAGGTATTTAAATCTTGAAACCTCACCTCTTTAAATTGGCCTTCACCCCACAGTTCTGGCCATTTGCCCTGGCTGTGTTTTATTTAATGATTTCCATTTATGGCACATTGGGATCTTTGGATGAAATGTGTCTTGCAAATTCAAATCATGATTATAATTGCAGTGAAAGGGTATCAGGACAATGGCAGATTGCCTTACCAGCCTTAATAGGTGCTCGCTAACAATATGTAGTCGTCTAATCTGAGGCTACACGGGGCATATTTTGTCTTTGTGTTCATGTGGAGTTTTTTTAGCATGTAAATATATGCGCATAAATTAGATCTCAATTTGAATAAAACAGTCGTAAAATTATGCAGAATTTCTCCGATTTTGCTGAATATTGTAAAATTAAATAATTCCATTGCTCCCGTGCCACCCATTTACATTACACCTTGACATTTTTTAAATCTGATTTTGCTAAATTGTTCTTATAAATATATAGCGTTCATTTTAGGCGTTCTCTTAAAAATGTCAACCTGAGCATTTTCTGAGTCATATGTCATCTGTTGTGCATAGAATATGATACTCGGTGTAAATATTACCGAATTATATTAACGTTCTGAAGGCATTTCACCTGCTCGAGTGATCAGGTCCGTGTGCTTCTGAATACACAAATCTGTCTTCTTACCTGCCTTTCCATAACCACTCTTTAATCTAACAAAGCCTTAGCCTCATAGACTGGCGGGGCAAGTGGCATTTGGCGAGGGCCTATCAAGGCCACAGCAGCACACGTATGACCGGGCGTGGTGTCTCCCAGGTGCTGAAGTTAATGTTACACACTGTGATATGCATTCATTTAAGGCTGAGTCGACTTAGGTCAGGACGAAGCCAGGTACAGAAGCGTCAGTGCCGATGGTGAAGAGTTGTTTGCATCATGGACAGGAATCAAACCCGTGTCTCCGGGACAGGGATTTCTTCCCGCCACATGAACGTGGAATTTCCAGTAGCTGGTTTTGGACCACGAGGGGAGATGAGCGCTGCCTCACACTTTCTTGTGTGTAGGTGCCTTGACTTTTAAAAAGATGTTTAATAAGATGGTAAATAATCATCTGGATGTTATAAACGTAGCTGGATAGCGCTGTGATTAGAGCTCTCAATTTGTGCTTGATAGGTTGTAAGTTCAAGTTGTAGTCTGGGGACAATTAATCCCCATCATTCTATCATCATCATCATCCCTCTGGGTAAAATAAAACAAATTTCACTTTGCGGGAAATTAACAGTTGTCAATCTATGGAGAGACCGGCTTCCTCCGCTGACTCGGTTACAAGTGAAGTTGGCTGCTGCCCTAACACTCACTTGCACATCAATCCTTTAACTTTGAATACACCTTCCCGTGACTAAGACCAAATGACACAGATTGTGCACGATGATGTCAGATGTGAAAAGCTGAGCAGTGTTGAGCCTAGATGTGTGCGAACACCACGCATAACAGGTGCTATAGGCTGCTACGGGGCTACCGTGCGGACAGCGTAGCAAAATCCAATGTTGTACTGTACTTTCTATGCTCCCGCGTTCACGCACCCACAGTGACCAGCGTTGTGAAGTATGGTCAAATAACTCCTACGGCCCATGTGGTGTGTGTGTGTGTGGAGGCTCGCATCCAACGGTGGATTGAGCGAGGGGCTGTAAATTGTAACGCGTTACGTATTGTTCCCTGCGTTCGTGTGCGATGTGGGTTCTCACTTTTTTTCCCAGGACACCATCACAGTTTATCACCGCACGAACACTTAAAACTATTTACTCAACTATTTTTTTTTATTTCACCAAGTTACTTACATTAAGTTACGAGTGGACCTCTCAGAAGCCACACGCCAATTAACTACACACCAATAAACTACACACCCATGTCCCCCTCCTCTCCCCCTCCCCTTGTATGTGCGTGTACGTATGTTGAACTTCTTTCGCACGGCACGCAGCGAACCGTGCTAATCGTAGGCGCCACGGAAGGACAACAAACTAAACATGAAAAGGAGTTCCAAAGAAATTAGTTTTCAATCCAGGTTTAAAAGTGCATAGCTCCCAGTGGCTTACCAATATCGAAAAGAAGAGCGTTCCAGACGGCCACGGAAGCGCGCTCGCGCGATGCGGTGTGATACTCTTTGTTCGATGGCCATACAATTGTTTTTGTAATGCCACGCTCCTGATCGTTGCCCCCCTACGAGAGGAGTAGAGCAGTGAGCCCAGTCACCTTTTGCCGGTCCCTATCCCCCAAGGCACCTGGCTCCTCGGGTTTGTTGCTCGCGAGGTGCCTCGTGTTCCCTGTGCCCGGCGTGCGCCGTCTGTATTGCACCGGAAGGACACTGCTGCAACTCTAAGCTGGACCCAAAAGAGTGAGCGATGTTGGAGTACAGACAAAGAGGTTGCACGCAAAAGAAGACCTGATGATGTGAGCAGTGATGAGACGGAAACTGACACTATTTGGGCACGCATGTGGGATGGACAACAGGGCAATAAGAAAAAAAAAGTGCATTGTTGTTCAGAAAAATGGAAGGAATTGTAAAGAGAGGGAGACCTAACAGAGAATGTCTCGACGACGACTACGACGTAAGAGACTGGTGCCAGAGGGTTTGCGGCCACTACTTGAACATGTTGGCACAAGACCGAGGAAAGTGGAAACGAGTGACGAAACGCGCAGTGGGCACTTACTGCAGGACATGTCTGCCGACGGGTCGCGATGACGGACGGACGGACAACAAAGGCAACGCACGCGCGGGTTTTGATGGAAAGCGACGGCGCTCACCGTCATTGGGTGATGTGTGCAGTCGTCGGCAGACTCCCTCCTTGCCCCCGTACGCCTCCTGCACCATGGCGATCGCTTCCGGCCCCCGTAGTTCCATGAGGGCCCTGAGTTCATCCACGGAGAGGCCAAAGTCGCCATCCTGGCTGCCTCCGGACGGCCCCACGCCCTTTGGCCCATGTCCGACGTTGGCCGTGCTGTTGGCCATTTCTCCCATGCTTGGGCGGCTGGCCTTAGCGGAGGCTTGCGGTGAGAGCGGCCAGTTCTACGGCAGCGTCAGCTTTTAATTAGAATTGTTTTGCCAACGATTGCATACGTCCTGGATTTTAACGCCAGTTGAACTGAACAGACAGCAAACGCAATATTTGTTTGCCTGCTTCGTTCGATCGAACAACAGCCGCCGTTTTGAAACTTTACTCGTTTCTAATTTCTTGGCTTTGCTTTGTTTTTCTTTCTTATTTTCTTATGGACACGGGAATCAATTCTTTCTGAAATTCTTATTGCCCAAGGCAGAAATTCAATTTATTATCAGTTAGCAGTCTTATTGTCGTCGTTGTTGAGACTTGTACAGCACTCGTTCAAAAAAACGTCCGTTGTCCATGCAACACCGAAATAAAATACTCATAGCAAACAAAAACTTGATTTTTATGACTTGGCGAATGCGCAGCTGTGTATTTCTTGATTTTGAGCAGTGCAGTGGCTTCTGCCTCGATGGCTGTGGAAGTGGCCCCTTTCCGTCGTGTTAGGAGATGGTGGCTGTCCCTTGGCTCTCTGTGACTCGAATAATTCAGCTGCCCATGACCGCGCAGATTTGCCCGCACTCCTTCCGTCTCTCGCTTCTCCTCTGCGCCTGAAACGGCAGACGGGTGGATTCGTCAGCAGAAGCCAAAGCCTGAGCACAGGGCCCAAATGCCCACAATGCCAAGTGGCCAACAACAGACGGCACTTAAAGTTGTGTATGTTCTTTAGGTTTTTTGAGCCAGCTGTCACAGGATTGGGCAAAACTTTTCCCACTTTTCACCCAGGCAACTAAAGAACAGCACAGACTAAGTGTCTAACTCACAAGAAACATGTTTAAGAATCACAGTTAAGAGACAAGCAACATATATACTTTGAAAAATAATTTTAATATATTAAAATAAAAGCTTTAAATCTCATCAATGTTTCCTCATACTATCCGTTACACTGTTTATTTACAAGTAGGTGAGAACTCTATAGATCCAGGATAAAAGTGTAATTGGGAAAGGGTGAACCAGAGGCATTCGTCTGTCAGTATGGGCCACATATCTACGTGCACATATAGATGTGTATAATGTATTAAACCAGGAGAACAGTGGCGAGTGATATCTGAACCAGTTATTTCCCCCCCACTTAAAAAAATATATCTGCGCTGACTAGTCTGGTGAAGTATGGTGTCACCATCACCATGAGGATCAATTCATTCAACAGTGGATTAACAAAGGACTGTGCAACATTGTATAATCATCATTATTATTATTTGTGATATCGCTGTAAATGTATGCGTGCACGACATTTGCCAAACATCAACGTTCGGGACCCTCTTGAATGTCGTGAAACTCATGGCTTTCCTTCATAAAAAAATACAATAATTATTATTATTCTATATACACATGCACATGCCCTCACATACACACACATATAAAAAGACAAAGACCCCCCATATACCCTTTAACAGATTATTGGAACAAGTTATATTTGCGAGAACCCATTGAGGCCAGCACGGCACACGAGGTGGTCGTGTGGCACCTAGCACACCCGACCGCCTTTGTCTCCCCAGTGGCGATGTCTACACACCGCACCAGGTACCCATTTCAAGCTGAGTCAACGTTATTGTCGGAACGAGCCCGTGACTCGTTACGACAATAACCGCTGATGTTAGCCACGACTAGGAATCGAACTCAGCTTTTGCAGGTTCATAGCACTCGCCACTATGCTACCACTCGACCCTCACATTTAAAACACACACACACACACTGCAATTATTATTAAATTGTATAATATAAACCCCACGTCATCCATCATCTCCGCCAATCGCCCACGCTCGTGCCACGCTTCCAGGGGGCTGGCACGTAGCCAGCCCTGTGCTCCCGGGCACCCCCCCCCCCCATCACTGCCCCCCCCACACACACACTGCAGGCTGCTGGGTATTTTACGCGCGCACGCCCACACACAGCAGCAGCACAATGTCAGACAACGGCGGCGATCGGTGGCGGTTAAAAGTAATGGCTTTGTGTAATGAGTTTTTCCAAATGCAAGTTCCATTCAGGTTATGGCTAAGGTCAAGAGGTCATCGCGGCTAAAATGTGTCGTAGCTCTTGGCTTTTTGCTTCCTTCCTTCCTTGCTGCCTCATGCCCCAACTGTAGCCACAGTTGACACCCGAACCCCCACAAGGTCTTGCTCTTGAGTCTACCACGTGCTCACTATTAACGTCGCCGCCTCCGCCGTCGAGCGAGAGGTCTTCTTACCCTTGGTCTCCGAAAAAAAAACCCTGGGTTGCCACTCCACTGCCCGTGTCGGTGGCCTGCCCTCCACCACCCTGCGAAACGTGTTGCACTCGTCGTCACAACCAAACTGTGGAACGCCTTGCTACTTGGAATCAGCCAATCGGAGTCGGTAGATATACGGGGTTATTCAAAAATATGTTAACACTTATATGGGGCTATCGTTTTTAATGAGATAGAACTGATAATAATAACACTGCAACACGATAGCACATGTAATGTTAATAGCTTCAAAAAGTCAAAAAGTCTCCACTTGTGCGCCATCGTTGTCAACACGTGGTTTGGAATCTTCTCCAGGTGGTTTCCAGAGCCCGAGGGCACATTTTTGTGGTATTGTTGCAAATTCTCCGAAGTGTTTACATTTTTTTGAAGCACGCTGTCTTCATGTGTGCTTTGAAAACCCATCTCTTTAAATTGACCCTCCATCTTAAGTTTGGTCGGTTACCCTGGTTCTGTTATTGTTTCCTGGTTTCCATGCCTTGTGATCCTATGATGGAATGTGCATTATCCATTTTAATTATTATTATTAATCTGTTCACCTCATCAGATCTACAATAGCTCATTTCCGGCAAGTTGCTCGAGAGAAATGTCCTTCAATTAAATACCTTCAATTAAATACCTTCAATTATATACCTTCAATGAAATACCTTCAATGAAATACCTTCAATTAAATACCTTTAATTATATACCTTCAATTAAATACCTTCAATTAAATACCTTCAATTAAATACCTTCAATTAAATACCTTCAATTAAATACCTTCAATGAAATACCTTCAATGAAATACGTTCAATTATATACCTTCAATTATATACCTTCAATGAAATACCTTCAATGAAATACCTTCAATGAAATACCTTCAATGAAATACGTTCAATTATATACCTTCAATGAAATACCTTCAATGATACCTTCAATGAAATACCTTCAATGAAATACGTTCAATTATATACCTTCAATTATATACCTTCAATGAAATACCTTCAATTAAATACCTTCAATTAAATACCTTCAATTAAATACGTTCAATTATATACCTTCAATTATATACCTTCAATGAAATACCTTCAATGAAATACCTTCAATGAAATACCTTCCATTAAATACCTTCCATTAAATACCTTCAATTAAATACCTTCAATTAAATACCTTCAATTAAATACCTTCGATTAAATACCTTCGATTAAATACCTTCAATTAAATACCTTCAATTAAATACCTTCAATTAAATACCTTCAATTAAATACCTTCAATTAAATACCTTCAATTAAATACCTACCCTCAAAGACTTTCGGTTAAAGAATAACGTACGACTGCTGTCCCTTACAATTTAAGGCACGTGATTTACAATTATTTCCTTCCGTATTAATATTTTTCAACTTGCTTACCCTGTTTTGCCATAACATTCCGAGTTCCCTCCACATGCACCGGTATTCAAACAAGAAGCGAACATTCGAAACCGACGGTCATGCTATAATTTAACTATTTTTTGGTGTGTAATCACATTAACAATTTTTACTTCATAACACGCATAGTTTCAGTTCACTCCCAGAGAGAGAACGATTCAGAGGTGCGGGAAACCACACACAGACAAAATCTGAATATGTATTTATACTGGAGGAATCTGATGAGCTATAACGCTCTTTCACAGCTGTCCAGTAGAAGCGGGTCAGAACGTTACAAGCACGCTGTCTTCATGTGTGCTTTAAAAACCCATCTCTTTAAATTGACCCTCCATCTTAAGTTTGGTCGGTTACCCTGGTTCTGTTATTGTTTCCTGGTTTCCATGCCTTGTGATCATATGATGGAATGTGCATTATCCATTTTAATTATTATTATTAATCTGTTCACCTCATCAGATCTACAATAGCTCATTTCCGGCAAGTTGCTCGAGAGAAATGTCCTTCAATTAAATACCTTCAATTAAATACCTTCAATTATATACCTTCAATGAAATACCTTCAATGAAATACCTTCAATTAAATACCTTCAATTAAATACCTTCAATTAAATACCTTCAATTAAATACCTTCAATTAAATACCTTCAATGAAATACGTTCAATTATATACCTTCAATGAAATACCTTCAATGAAATACCTTCAATGAAATACCTTCAATGAAATACGTTCAATTATATACCTTCAATGAAATACCTTCAATGAAATACCTTCAATGAAATACCTTCAATGAAATACGTTCAATTATATACCTTCAATTATATACCTTCAATGAAATACCTTCAATTAAATACCTTCAATTAAATACCTTCAATTAAATACGTTCAATTATATACCTTCAATTATATACCTTCAATGAAATACCTTCAATGAAATACCTTCAATGAAATACCTTCCATTAAATACCTTCCATTAAATACCTTCAATTAAATACCTTCAATTAAATACCTTCAATTAAATACCTTCGATTAAATACCTTCGATTAAATACCTTCAATTAAATACCTTCAATTAAATACCTTCAATTAAATACCTTCAATTAAATACCTTCAATTAAATACCTTCAATTAAATACCTACCCTCAAAGACTTTCGGTTAAAGAATAACGTACGACTGCTGTCCCTTACAAATTAAGGCACGTGATTTACAATTATTTCCTTCCGTATTAATATTTTTCAACTTGCTTACCCTGTTTTGCCATAACATTCCGAGTTCCCTCCACATGCACCGGTATTCAAACAAGAAGCGAACATTCGAAACCGACGGTCATGCTATAATTTAACTATTTTTTGGTGTGTAATCACATTAACAATTTTTACTTCATAACACGCATAGTTTCAGTTCACTCCCAGAGAGAGAACGATTCAGAGGTGCGGGAAACCACACACAGACAAAATCTGAATATGTATTTATACTGGAGGAATCTGATGAGCTATAACGCTCTTTCACAGCTGTCCAGTAGAAGCGGGTCAGAACGTTACAACAACACAATAGAAAAACACGATAGGAGTGCAAAGCATAGGAAAGGTCAGCAAATCACAAACACACACAAATAAAACGAAATAATTTTATTTTACCAGATAAAGCCCACCGAGATATTAGCTTATTGTTCAGAATCGTCCTGACCACAAATTACAGTTCAACGAAGTGGCTTATCACGTGGGAATTCATCGCAGCCAAATACTCTAAATAATCTAAACTGGGGAAGTCCAGCCGGAATGCAGAGCAACAACTGTTGTCCTATATTGCCATGTTTGGCCAACTACCATTAAGGTTAACAAGTACCAGTTTAATACTTTTTATTGACGTGAACGAAAGTGAAAAGTCAGAGTGTGACTCCGCTCATAAATTTTCCAATCCATTGCCAGT